CCACCATATTGCAAACTTGAACGACTAGTTCCTTAAACAAAGGCTTGAAAGGCAATAGATTAATAAGGTAGTCATATAAAGACTTGCACCCCGTTTCATACCCAATAGGACAATTACTTGCAATCAAGTTCTTACCTCCTATAATGTGAGATATATATATATATATATATATATATATATATATATATATATATTGTATTTGGCTAATTTCGTTGTCAAAACAAATCTAATCGAGTTGTAAAAAATTTCGGTTTAGAATTTCAAGATTGAAGATCGGATGCAGATTTGAAGAAGTTCAAATGTTCATACTTTAATACAGTCCGGGATGATGAAAACAATGCTTTAGAAATGTATGTGTGTGTGTGAGAATACTTAGGAAGTTTTGGAAATTTGAAGTTTTTAGGAAGTTTACATTCTACCCATCTTGAATTGGTAGGAGAATATTCAAACAGGTTCAACTCGAACTGGTAGAAGAATCCAACTTTTGAACTTAGTAATTTTTTTTATTCTGTCCATTAAGAACTAGTAGCCAATTCCTGAACCAATAGCCAATCACGAAGGATTCTTCACTGGCCATCTGAACCGGTAGCCAATTCTGAACCGGTTCGATCAAGGCTTCTGTTATGTTTTGGTAACTTTAGTTCCCTGATCTGTTTTGATTCATTTTTGGTCCAGACTTCCTTCTAAAAGCCTATACACGAATTTCACTTATTTTATAAGTATTCTTAGGTCTTCCAAATTTCTATATAATGTCCCTTTCATTCAACATTGAGGTATGGCTTTGAGGAACAAAAATTCATTATTTTGATAAAGTCTTTTGAGAGATATTTTTTAAAAAATCAAATCTGATTTTATTTTGAGAATACACATATATATACACAAGTGATTTAGTTGTGTTATTCTCTATCTCATTTGAATTGGACCATAATTGAAAATTCAAAGATTCCGAAAATTAAATCTATTTCTTCTACATCAAAGTTCAAATCTTGAAGAAAATAGGTAAAGCGATCACACTTTGGAAGGGTCAAAGCGTTCGAAGAGTGTTACTTAATCTACCAGCAATCTTTTTATAGAGATCAAGAGTAAGTCTACCCGCAATCCTTTTATAGAGATCAAGAGTAAGTCTGTAGTCAATAGCTGTTGGATGGGACGTCGCAAAGCCAAGGATTGTCATAGATTGGTTTTTGGTAGAACGATAAGGTGTAAGCCTGAGTCAAAGTCCATTGTACTTTGTTTCATACATAATGGATTGTTTTGCTTTGCACTGCACAGTCCACGAGGTTTTTCCCACAACAATTGGTTTATTCTAACAATTGGGGTTTCCTCGCTAAAAATCATGGTATCATCTCTCCAACTTTACTTGCTTTACTTTTCAGTATTTATCTTTGTGATTGTGGATGTTTAATTGATCATATTGCTTAGGTAATTTAATTAATCACAAAAATTGGGCACATTGACCTATTAATCTCATCTAGGTCATTGAAGGAGTTAATCACAATTAAATCAACTAACAGCTTCCGCACCACGCAACTTACATATAATAAATACCGAAAGTTACTGATCTATGAAGATGGTAGCGAAACACTTGATTTTTGGGTAAGCCCAATCACTTGATTTGGAATTGCTAACAGAGACCGTCGTAACCAGACTAGCATATAACGGTCAGTAAAATCATTCTTTGTCCTATTCGTGGGAATTGTATTACCCTCATCTATTGTAATTTGACGATCAAACTATTTTGCTTCAATTACATCTCCAAACCATATCAAATTCTCACGGACGCCTTCAAGTTCTTCCAAATCTTTGTTCTTCAAATCTATGTCTATTTCATTACTTGAATAACAAGTGTCTGCGAGCACCGCAACTGGCAGCTCAATACTGCCACCATTCTCATCAATAATTTTTAAGCCTACCTATCTCAAACCATTAGTTATGTCTTCAAAATAGACCTCTAAAGTTATACCAATAGAAGCCTTTTCAGTTGTATCTACTACAATTAACATATGAGTGACTTCATCACCTTCAACGACAATAGGCAATAACAAAAATTTTCTCCCAATTAAATTTTTGAAAATTAATTATTGCTTCTAAAAAAATCATCACTATTCTCCTTCTTGTTGATAAACTAAGTCTCTTTCTTGCAATCTTAATATTGGTTGTATAACATATGCTGATAATTAATGTGTGTTTTCTTCAATGATAAACCACTCGCAATAGAATGAATCCTTGTAGAATAGGGCTATGTTGAGGGAGTCGAACCTCAAGGATTGTGGTGGATTGTTAAGTATAAAATTAATTGCTAATTTAATTCAAAGGGATGAATTGTTTGTTTTGATTGTATCTAAATAACATGGAAAATAAAACTAAGTAATTGTAATAAAGATTGAGATCAAGAGAAAAAATACTTAGGGCTTGACTTCACCACGAACCTCGTAATATGATCAATTACTTCAACCTTAGGGATTTTGATATTTATGCACAATTGGGAATTAAATGAATTTACATCTAATTTAATTCGATTTCAAGCAGATAAATCATGAATTTACATTAAACAATAATCTATCTTCGGTTGGCACAGATTGTCTACCTAACTACTCTAATGTTGGGTGCAGCACAACTCGTCTTCCCTAGATATAAATTATCAAAACATTCATTCACAATACAATTTAAGAACTATTGCATGATCACTATTCAGATCATTAAGAGAAGCCCTTAACAGCCAATCTCAAACAATAACAATAGTTTGGATTTAATTAAAGTAAAATCAATTCTAAGACAAGATATTAATTTCATCAAAAACCAAGTTTATTCATTAACTCTCCAATTGCTTAGAAATCCTAAGTCAATTGTTCATAATCATGCAATTAAAATACATAAAAGCCGCTACAAGGTAGGAGATCCAAGAAAGAGATTATTGTGTCTTCTCATCTTCTTTTATAGTGGAGAACAAGTCCTAATCCCATTTGGATGAGTTTTACAACTTTTGAGAACAATTTGGCCCATAAGGAAACAAAGAAAAGTGATTTTGCGTAATTCCCGCAACTTTTGGAATCTTTCAGGAGGTTTGTGCTCAAGCACAAAACTTTGTGCTCGAGCACAGTTGTGGTTGAGCACAGTCTCACACTTAGTTTTGTTTCAGCAAATTATTCTGAAATTGTAACCCTATTTTAACATATTTGGATTACGAATCTCGAGATTGTTATTAGAGACAAAAATGTCGAGCTTCGAGTCTTCTTTCCATTGCCACTAAGTTTTTCTAATTTAGAGTTTCGAGTAAAAAGTTATGCCCAAAATATTGAAGCAGGTTCTGAATTTCCATCAGTGCTTGAGCTCTAAGGGGTTATGCTCGAGCTCTGGGAACTGAATTTTTTCGAAACGTTTTTTTATTCAGCACTTCGGTTTTTTTCTTGAATTTTATGATTTGTTCTCAAGCTCTGGGGCCTAGAATTCTTGCAAATCTGCCCGGTTAAGTCCCAAATTGCTCGGAAGGCTCCGAACATCTCCTTAAGCACCGGGAACATCCCAATAAGCTCTAAATAAATGGAATTGACCATCTCTTTAGGTAAAAACCTATGAAAAGAAAATAAACAAAAATAAACATAAGAACTAAGATAAAAGTACCACTAAGACATTAACATATGCATGTTTAAGGGCTCAAATTAATATGCAATATTCAATGCTTATATCAATAACTTGGTGGTAAAAATTTAGCAATTAACACCTTTTTCATGATCTTTGACCATGATCGTACAGGGTGTTTTCCTTGCCACCTCTAATTAGTTTTTACCTGTTCCCACCAAGCTGAAGCACCTTTCTTAAACATGAATGCTACAAGAGGAACTTGTTTGTGTTCGGGTATATCAAAATACTCGAGAAAGTTCTAAACTTCATTAAGCTAATCGAATACATCTTCAGCACAAAAACTAGAAGTAAAAGTAAGTAAATCGGGTTTTTTTTTTTCTGAAACTTACGATTGTCCGGATAGTTTATGTCACCTTGATTGACCGCAACTTTTTAAAATTTGAACTTCTCATCATCGAAAGAATCCACATAGGCCTTCAGCCTACGTACATATACAGGAACATAACTCATCTCGTTTGGTTGCGAGACACATCATCAACGTGAACACAAATTGAACCACAAAGCTGGTTGCAACCAATCCCAAAACAAGTTGCTACAAACCGTTCTTGAGTATGCATGGCTGCCCAAGGGGCCTGCACTCCCCAATCATTGTCGTGAGAGCGGTTGCTACCAAAACGAGCAATCGTCATCAAATTGAGGTATAACAAGGCTCTGATACCAACTAACGTAGCGATAACAAGGCTTTGATACCAGCTAACGTAGTGAAAAGCGATAAACGTTCACAAGGAACAAGGGTTATCTTGAATTCACAAGATAGAGTACCTTAAATTCACAAGATGGTAACTTTGAATCCACAAAGTTGAATAAAAATTACAAAGCAATTAAAATATTATTGATTGATTATTCGGCTCTCACACTACATTGTATTTATAATAAATAAAACCCTAAAACTATAAAGGAAACTAATAACAAAAAGGAAACAAATTATTTTAAGTAAAGAACCTAATAAAATAAAGAAACTAACAATAGAAGGAAATTAAAAACCTAAAAATAAATTACCTAAAAATTATAAAATAATAAATAATTAAAATCTAATAAAATTGTCCTACATCAATATATTACTTCATCTCTCTGTAACTTTTTGTTTTCATTTTTTCATGAACCCCCACCCCCACCCCCCCGGCCCCGTCCTGGGTAATGTGTGTACTTACCTAACCAATATTTATAACATAATTGTATGGTAGTCGCGGCGTAGTTTGGCCACCTTTTGAAAAGTTGAAGGGGTTATATGAAAATAAAAAAATAAAAAAAATATTTCATGAGAAATTTAGACATGCAGTTCATCAATTTGGCCTAATAAAAAAGAAAGATATAGAAGAGTTATTGATTATAGCTAAAATATGTGATGGAACTAACAGGCATGGAGTGAAGCAACCAAGAAATCCATGGTCAGACGGACCAGAGTATATCACACAGTGTCCCATTAAGCCTGGAACAAACTTCACCTACGAGGTCATATTTTCTAGTGAAGAAGGAACCCTCTGGTGGCATGCTCATAGTGATTGGACAAGAAGCAGTGTCCATGGTGCCATTGTCATTTATCCTGCAATTGGAACTACTTACCCCTTTACGAAGCCTGATGATGAAGAAATTATTGTAATTGGTATGAATATCCAAGTGTTTTCCATTACAACAAGGGACTTGTTAATTAGTGCAATATAATGTGTATGTGTGTATATTTATAACTTAGTGTTAACACCAAGCAATTCCCCACTTCATTCCTAATGTATTTAATTGCAGGATCATGGTATAACGGAGATATCAACAAAGAAGTTCTTGAGGATCTCCAAACTGGTGTGGACATGCCAGAGTCTGATGCTTTTGTTATCAATGGCCAACCAGGAGATTTTAGCGAATGCTCGAATGGTATGATAGTTGTGTACCTATGTGAAAGATAAGTATATATATATATATATATATATACTGAAAATTTGTTCGTAATTATATTGATTAATTGAATTCACGTGTTACAGGAACAACAACGTATCGCAGGCTGATTGATTCTGGTAAGACCTATCTTCTTCGCATTGTCAACGCAGCAATGAATGCAGATCTCTTCTTTGCTATTGCTCAACACAACATCACAGTTGTTGGAATGGATGGAAACTACCTCAAACCCATAGCAACACCTTATATTGTAATATCCCCTGGACAAACTATGGATGTTTTACTCTCAGCAAATCAGTCTTTGGGTCAATACTATATGGCCACGAGAGAATATCACAGTGCAGATTATAGCGATTATGACGCAACAAATGCTACTGCAATTCTCGAGTATAGAGGCAACTATACTCCTCCAGCTTACCCTTCCTTCCCATCTTATAATCTTCCTTCAAGTGATGACTTTGTTGCAGCAAACAATTTCTTGGATCGACTAAGGAGCATGGCAAGTCCAGAATATCCGGTAAAGGTCCCGGAAGATATCACTACCAGGATGTTCATAGTAGTTTCTATGAATATGATTCTTGTTGCTAATGGTTCATTAGAGGGGATCACAGAATATTATAAGCTCGCTTCAAGCATGAACAATATCAGTTTTGTGAACCCTGCAACCGATGTGATGGACGCCTATTATTGGTATGCCTTCTGTTCTTCTTCCATCTCTTCTCAAATTTAAAGCTATTCATATGTATAGAATAGAAGATTGTATCTCTGATAAGAATCATACGGTGATCCCTTACCGAAATAAACATGAGCAAGTAGTGGAAGCACAAGTGATAGAATGTTAAAAATTAAGGGCATGTTTGGCAATAGATTTTGTTTTGCGCGTTTTCAATTTTGTACCAAACAAAAGCAATGTTTTTGTCGTGTTGGAAACAGAAACGTGTTCGAAACAGAAACATGATTGGTAATTAAATTTGTTTCACAATGTTTCTAAACAAAAAAAATTAAAATAGATGTTTGGTTGATTGTAAAAAAATATGGTATATATATTATTTTGCATATCAAAAAAGAATTTCTCTACAGTTGCTCAACAACATTAGAGTATCTCCAACCATTGTGTATATATTTTTGTATAAATATGATGTCATAATAGGTCATAATAGATGTACACAAAAATTTTGAATTATTTATTTTTAACTCCAACAGTGATTTTATATCTTTTGTGTAAAAATTTATCCCCCAATAATAACCAACCAGTGTCATGCCTGGACCCTACATAATTTTTATAAACCTACTTAATATAGAGTTGATTAGTTAATGGAATGAGAAAGAGCGATGAGAAATGAATTATACTGATGTGACTGTATAAAAAAGTTGTGTGAAATACACAACAATATTATACATTGGTGACGTGACAGTATATCTTTGTTGGAGATAAAAAAATTTTTACATATTATGCGTGACAGTGTATATTTTATACAAAATAGTATTTTAACAGACTACTGGAGATGCTCTTAGCGAAAACAAGTGAAAATTTAATTTTCTTACTTTTAGGTGAAAATTTAATTTTCTTACTTTTAGGTCTAGGCCTTTTTCGAAAAGTACTGTGCAAAACATAATAATGTGAACAAACCCAACTGTACTTTATTACAATTAAATATCATTCAGCATTCATATGATTTTTCTAATCTGACTTTGTTAGATTTTTTATACAGGAACATGAGTGGGTTTTATACCACAGATTTTCCTGACCAGCCATCTTCTTATTTCAACTTCACAGAAAGTGATGTTCTTCTTAATGCTTCATCAACAGTAAAAGGAACCAAGGTGAAGATTTTGAATTATAACGAAGCAGTGGAGATAATATTCCAAGGGACCAATTTCTTGGATGCATCAGAGGCTCACCCAATGCACTTGCATGGCTATAACTTCTTTGTTGTCGGAACAGGGTACGGGGATTTTGACCCGGAAATTGATCCAAAAGGGTACAATTTGGTTGATCCACCTCAACTGAATACATTTGCAGTCCCCAAGAATGGATGGCTTGCCATCAGATTTGTAGCCACCAATCCAGGTATAACCTCTCTTCTCTCAAAGGAGATGCTGGGGATGCTGGGGTTTCGAGCATTTGTGCGTAAGTATTTTAACTGACTAAAAAAAAAAAAAAAGGTGTTTTTACTAACACTAAAATGGATATTTTTGCTAGGTGTATGGTATTGGCATTGTCATTTTGATCGACATCTAAGTTGGGGAATGAGCACAGTTTTTATTGTAAAGAATGGTGACACTCCTGAGACAAGCGTTCGCGATCCCCCTGCTAACTTGCCTCAATGTGAAGTTCCATTAACTAATTGGCTCAAACAATTTTATCATTCAGACGGAGAAGTATATATAAATTAAATGGCAATTGATTAGGATGTTGCTGAAAGCCTTGCACGGCCATATTGAATTTTCCTTCTTTTTTTTTTTTTTTTTTTTTTTTTTTTTTTTTTTGCCTCGGATCATGTTGTGACCGGGTTTTGATCCTATTTGTAAAGACTATATATATATTATATTATATTATATTAAAAAAAGAGAGATAATAACTGTTATTTTCCCACTTTCCCCGACATAGCCACTTAAATTTTCGTTCTCATTATTAAATACCAACGTTTAACTCTTTGTTGAGTAGAAACAGTTGATTTTCATTCTCATTATTAAATACCAACGTTTAAATTTTTGTTGAGTAGAAGAAGTTGATTTTCATTCTCATTATTAAATACTAACGTGAACTCTTTGTTTAGTATAAAAGGTTGATTAATTAATGTTAACGTATTAGACGGTTGGGTGGGTATAAGCTGTGGTAGGGCACACCTGTTGAATGATTCAACGGTTATGAGACTCCGGGAGTATGGTATTCTCGAAATATTGTAAAATTTCTCGTAAAAGTAAAGTAGATCCACATGACAAATGTACAATATCTATAAAGGAGGGTAGGTCGGGAGGTTTTGTGTGGGTTTTTGAACATATTTTTTTGATCCATTTTGTGTTGGGGTCACGGACTCAAAAATTTAACCTCTATTGTAACCCATATGTGAGATAAAAAATAAAAAAATAAATAAAAAATAAAAATTTATTTGATAAATTTTGGTGTCAAAACAAGTCCAATCGAATTATATGTTATATTTGTGATTTTGAATCTCGATTTCGCAAGCGCACTCCGATTCAAAGAGAATGACAGATTAGTCAAGGTAAGTGTGGACACCAGTGTTCATTTCAAAATTGATAGAAGTTTTGAAACTATTGCAAATGAATTTGTTCATTTTCTTTTGAACATGTTCAAGTTTGTTTTTGAAACTACCCTAAATGAACCTATTCATCTTTTTGTTAAGCCTCTTCAAGTAAGATTTTACACAAATTAAATTTTATTTATTTATTTATTTTTAATGAAAGTTGTTTTAGGTCTGTACAAAATCTATATAAACATTTTTTTTTTCTCATTTAGGATTTTCTATGGCTTTTGAATACAATTTTCAACAATCCTAAGAGATCCAATTTATGAGATTTTCTTAGTGTTTATTTTTCATATTAAGAGCACGCATATTTTACACACGAGTTATTTAGGATGTTAATTTCTATCAGATGTCTGAAGCATTGAAGATCCATTGATACCGTTTAGAAAAAAGCAAAGCTTCTTTTTATCTTCGTTATTTCAGATTTGAAGAAAAGGAGGGACCTATATGTGACGTCCCAAATTTTTCGGTATTTTTTAGACCATTTTCTCTTTATTTTATTTGTGCACGGGTTTCGTGCCACGGTTTACCGGGACTTGTTTGGGGTGTTTCTTCGGGTAGAACCCTTAGAAACTCATTTGGGTTTATTTCGGTTAATTTCGATTTTTGTGCCCGGGGAGATGCCGGGTGGGCCCCGCGATAGATTTTCGTGTTCCAAATTTTTTTTCAGCATAACTGTGGTCTTCATTTACATTGGAATTATTTAAATGATCATTAACTAATACATTCTTAAAATTCATTAACTAATTAAATCAACTAATAGATATATATATATATATATATACACAGTGACGGACCCAGAAAATTTGGTGAGGGGGGGCGAATTTTTAATTTGTGGGTACAAAATTATATGATGGGTTTATTTTTGTAATTTTAGTAGGGTTTTTTTCATAAATTTTAAAAAAATTTAAGTATAAAATGAAAAAAAAAAAATCAGTGGGGCAAATTATAATTATAGTGGGGCATCTTCATAAATTATCAAAATTTGAAGTATAAAATGCTAAAAAAAAAAAAGAATCCAGTGGGGGCGAATTGTAATTTTAGGGGGGGCATTTTCATAAATTTTAAAAACATTAGGGTATAAAATGAAAATATTAAAAATTCAGGGGGGGGCATCTGCCCCCCCTAGTCCCCTGCTGGGTCCGTCCATGTATATATATCTCTCTCATAGATCGGCTCGGATCGAATCGGATTTTAACAGCCTAATCCGTAATTCGATCCGTGAACTATGGACTCAATTTTTTTGAATCTGCCACCGATCTGTGAGTGTAGCAATCTGATCCAATTTGATCTGCGCAAATCCATTTGGATCTACGCAAATCCATTTGGATCGAATCAGATTTAATTCTTATAGAATTTCCAGTTCCTAATCTATATTTTTTACTAATCCTAGTATTTTGCATTTGTTATATTTTTCACTTTCAGGGCGTGTTCATTAATAGGAATAAATTTTTAATTTTGTTTAAAATTATAATTTTGATTTTTAGAAGTGAAACAGAAAGTAAAATCATGTTTAGTAATTGTCAACTAATTTTAGAATTTGAAAGTAAAAACACGTGTTTTTAATTAAAAATAAAAAAATTGTGATTTTGCTTTTGGTTCTCGAATTGGGAATAGGGATGGTAACAGGGGTGGTTTTGGGCGGGTGTACCCTTCCCCGCCCCTGCAACTGTTTAGAAACCTCCACCCCATCCCCGCCTAAAACCACTTAAACAGGGGGTCTTTCCACCCCATCCCCACTCCCGTTTCTTTTTTACCCTCACAGGCACCCGTCCCGCCCCGTTTAGTTCCGGAATTTCTTCTCCTTTTTAATTTTTTTCTACGAATACAATTGTATAACTATTGAAGAAACTCATAAAAATATGGAAAATCAATAATTTAACATAAAATTCAAGGGTATAGACTCTTAGTTCGTAGGGCTCTGCTGGTCTCTAGAATTACTGGGAAAGTGAGTTAATCTAACATAGGGTTCTAGAGCTAACTATTTATACTAATAATATAATGGTAATTTAGTAATTTAACCTACCTAAACGAGGCGAGGCGGGGTGACATCTCCTTGCCCCTGCCCCGAACCTGTGCAGGTTTTCACTAATAAAAGTCATCGTCGCCCAAATAAGCTAAACGGTCCCCCAAAACCTCTATTAATAGGGCGAGTACCCATCCCCGCGGGACAAATTGCTATCCCTAATTAGGAACAATAGTTAAAACTTCTAAATTACATTTAGAAACATAAAATATTTATGTTGCGTTTGTTAGAAATTATAAAATTTTCCAAAAATAAAAAATAAAACATAAATTATTGGATCATTAAAAGATTTGTGCAAACCTTTAATTTCAGGAAGGAAAGAAGGCACACGAATTTATATGGATTAGACTGTCTTTAACAGTGAATAATAATAATAATAATTATTATTATTATTATTTTTTTGGGTAAGCCATTGGTAAGGAAATGAATGCCAAATTGCCAACTCTGAGTCATGTTAGGGGGATAAAAATCGTCAATGGAATAAGAGATCTGTTCCATCGGTGAGAGACTTGTGGTTCAAAATGTGCCATGTTAGGGACTTTAGGAAGCAATTGTGCCAGGCATTTGTAGTACCAAATGTCAGTCATGTTGAGAGCATCCCCAGTGATAGCATTCATTTACATTCTACTCTTTGCATTTTGCATAAAGTGTAGTGTCACGTCAGCAATTGTGCTGACACGGCCCTACACTTGTTTTGAAGATCTAAAGCTATGTTATGCACCATTGTTTTACCTTCTACATTTTATTATATATAATCACTTTTATTATTTTATATACACAATTATACTACCACACACTATTACTTTTTTATTTTATATACACAATACCCACTTTTTGCATCTGTCAGAGGCTACTCAATTCTACACATTTGGAGTATCAAGTGTTGAATGTGTGGTGGGGGCCACAAATGTACAATGCGCACAAGAGAAGCATTGGTTCTCTGCAGACTTGGATATTGTACAAAAAAGCCCTGCGCTAGGGATGCTCTAAGGACGTTAGGAGGAAATATGATGCAACCTTCATATAATAATTGTTTTTAAATCTTTATATGATAAGGGTTGTGATGTATTAATTATATTTGAAGTTAATAATTCACTGAATAATTTCAAAAAAAAAAAAAGTCACATGACCTGTCATCACGCTAAGTTAAGAAATTTTGGAAGTAGTAAAGAGTGAGTGTGTGTTTAATCTGTATCTTTTTTAATCCATTGCCATCTGGATAGTATACAGTTTCAAAGGAGTTTTTCCGTACATTAATTCTTCTTCTCCTCTTACACGTAGAGGTCTCCTTGCACATATAGGGGTTTCTCGTTCTGATCATCAGAGTTCGAGTTCTTCCGTACGATGTTGCAGTCTTTGTCTAAAATGGATCTTTTTAAGTCTCAGATCCTTTATGCTTCCGGTTTGGGTCATGAAAGTTGTATGAGGTTGTATGGCTGGATAGGCAGTAGTGTGAGGTTGGTGCAAAATTGAGCTTTTTGCGGGATGGAATGATTTCTACAGCACCTCAAAAGTTTTTCCTATTGATCCGAGTATTGGACCACGGTCTTTTGTTACCCTTTTATTTCTAATGTTTTTATTGTCTATTTTTGCATCTTTGTTGTTGGATCTGCTTTTCTACTTTCCTATATACCAGCAACTCTACTCTTTGTGTTTCCTCTTGACGGGTTATATGATTATCCGTGCTGAAATTGCTCTGGTCGCCAGGGAGCATGTACAGTTGATGGGTTGCTGGATATAATGGTCTATTTGGTACGAGTCTGGTGTGTGAATTGTCAATTAGTCACCATAATCAGGGACGGGTTCATGTTGTGTATGGTTACCCCATAGATGGCGGCCTGCAGACATTATCTCCTTCATCGCCACCACAGTCTCTGGCGGTCAACGGTGAACCGGACCAAAACTCTTTGCCTGTCAATTGTGATGCTTCCTTGTCACGATTTTTCGATATCCTTCCTCGGCAACGTGGTTATGTGTATCTTTGCTATTGCCAGGCAATCTTGTCACATGACATCAGACTTACGTCTTTGGCTGTGCGTATTGTGCACATTGCGCAATGGGAGATTCTATATGGTTTGTGTATCCACTTTGTTTTGGTTAGGTCAGAGGGTTGTATCATGGGCTTGATGATCATTTGGGCCATGCCTTGCGCCCAATGGTGGGCCATGTGCACGTGCGGCTCCAAGATCTGTTTCTGGCCTCAAACATCATTATTCTTTTTGGTGTTGTAACCCACATTGAGCTTGTAACACACTTTTTGTATTGTGTGGTTAGGGTAGTGAAGCGTCTTCCATATGTTTCCTTTTGTGACATCCTCATTAGTAATTGTCGTCTCTGCAGCTACATGTTTTTCGACACATACTCTTCAATGGCCCCTTAAATTTCTGATTCTAAA